TGTGTGTGTGCCTGTGTGCATGTGTGTGTGTCTGTGTGTCTGTGTGTGTCTGTGTGTGTGTGTGTGTGTGTGTGTGTGTGTGTGTGTGTGTGTGTGTGTGTGTGTTTTGCCCATCCGGCCATGGCGGTACATAGACTTGTGCCGCGGATGTTCGGAGGACACTACTGTGCCTCCCCCGTCTCATACTCATATAGCCTCACTACTGGATGAAGTCCACAATCAACCGGCACCCTAACAGAGGCCTTGAGGGTTTCTCCGTACCCTAACAGAGCACCAACCAAAGAAGCGTGGATGAAGGTCCGCCATATCCTCCATAACATGGCTTGAGGTTTTCTCCCCAGGCCTACAACCTTTCTACTAATAATCCATAGTCATCGAGGTCTTCTTCGGCACCATCAAGCTCCACCGCTACAACCCAGAGCTCCGCCTAACTCACCTTCAGGATGGAGCAGCAGAATGACCGCTGGTTGAATGTGCCTGCTTACACATGGTTTTTGAGCTAGGAGTCCCCCATTACGAAGACAAAGTATGGGGCCCGTTCATCATAGAAGCTGATGACGGCCCTATAGCCTTCGGATGGGTCCTTGTGCGAAAGGATAAGAATGGCAGGGAAACAACCTTAGAGCATAACCCTTAACTGGAAGGGGGTATGGACAATTAGAAAAAAAAAACTCCTAGCTGTACTGCGCTTCCTAAGAATGTTCAGACACTAGCGTAAACGTAGACAATCTGCCCCTGGTAACCGAAAAACTTTTTGATGAATGGGTATAAAAGCCCAACCTTGTACATATGAAGTTTTAATAAAAAGTAAAGCAAACAAGCAGGTGCAGCCAGCGCAGCTTGCGCCCGCGAACACCATCAGGAAGCAACCCCAATGAAGAATGTCACTTCGCTCTTTCTGTCTCTGACTCTATGTTTTCTTTGTTAGTGTATGGCTGGTGCTTTCTGTATCACTGTTTTAGCTCTTGGCGTCTTCTGTCTTTCTAAGTGTTTGTGGAAAGCAGAATAGTAAACAGCAATGGTCACAAACAGCACCGTCATACACGGTCACAAACAGAATAGTAAACAGCAACGAATCTTCAACGATTCGAAGAACATTATCATCGTCACCGAGAAAGAGACAACTCTTTTTTTTTTTCCTTTCTCATTTGTTTTTCCTGCTACACACACAGCGTCAGAGCTCCCTGGAACTTCGGGAGCTCGCACCAGTCTGACAGTACATGCGAAAAGGAGTTACCACACCCCCCCCGCCCCATTC